TTGATTGTTTCCTTTGCTGTGCAGAAGCTTCTTATCTTGATGAAATCCCAATAGTTCATTTTTGCTTTTGTCTCCCTTGTTTCTGGGGACATGTCCAGTAAGAATTTGCTGTGGCTGATGTCAAAGAGGTTGCTGCCTCGGGTCTCCTCTAGGATATTGGTGGATTTTCTGTCTCATATTTAGGTCTTTCATCCATTTTGAATTTATTTTTGTGTATGGTATAAAACAGTGATCCAGTTTCATTCTTTTGCATGTTGCTTTCCAGTTTTCCCAACACCACTTGTTCAAGAGACTTTTTTTCTCACTGGATATTCTCTCCTGCTTTGTCGAAAATACTTGACCATATAGTGATGGGTCAATTTCTGGGTTTTCTATTCTGTTTCATGGATATATTTGCCTGTTTTTGTGCCAGTACCTTACTGTCTTGATAACTATACCTTTGTAATATAGTATGAAGTTCAGAATTGTGATGCCTCCAGCTTTGTTTTTCTTTTTCAGAATTTCTTTGGCTGTTCAGGATCTTTTGTGTTTCCATACAAATTTTAGGATTGCTTGTTCTAGCTCTGTGAAAAGTTCTGGTGATATTTTGATACTGATTGCATTAAATGTGTAGATTGCTTTGTGTAATGTAGACATTTTAACAATATTCTCCCAGGCCATGAACATGGAATAATTTTCCATTTTTTTGTGTCCGCTTCAATTTCTGTCATAAGTGTTGTGTAATTTTCAGAATACAGATCTTTTACCTTTTTCACTAGGTTTATTCCTGAGTATCTTGGTTTTTGGTGCAATTGTAAAAGGGATAGATTCCTTGGTTTCTCTTTCTGCTGCATCATTATTGGTGTATAGATATGCGACAGATTTCTGTATGTTGACTTTGTATCCTGCAACTTTACTAAATTCATGTATCAGTTCTAGCAACTTTTTGGTGGAGTCTTTTCATTGTTCTACATAGAGTATCATGTTGTCTACGAATAGCAAAAATTTTACTTCTTGCCAGTTTGGTTGCTTTTACAGTAAAACCTTGGATTGCAAGTAACTTGTTTTGCAAGTATTCTGCAAGACCAGCAAACATTTCTAATAAATTTTAACTTGATAAATGAATGATGTCTTGCAATACGAGTGGTATGTGATGCCGAACATCACGTGATCACAACTGAGCCAATGGTTCTTCTCTTTCTCTCTCTTGCTGCAGGATTGTGGGTGATTGTCTCCCATGCTTGGATGCTCAGTCTCAGGCCATGGTGTTTGGCAAAAATCAGTGATTTTTCAGAATATTGGAAGGTGCCCACAACTGGCACTAGTGTATTTTTTTTGTCACTTCAAAGCACCTGTGAACAGTCCTTTGCTTTTCCATATAAGAGTAAGCTTAGGAATGTATTGCTTCATTCTAGGTCAGGCTAAGTATAGTTATAGACCCTTTCTTCTGCTGCCTTATTGCCAGATGCACTAAATACAGTATATGACAAGTTTATTAATACTGTACTGTAGTCAACATCTGTGTGAGTGTATTCAGTGGGCCCCATGCAGAAAAAGATTCCATTGAGCCAACAGATAGCAGTGGTTTTATTAGTGATAGTGAAAATAGTCCTACACAATAACCTGCCTCTCTCTTGTCTCTCCCACACCAGCCACAAAGATTTCCAAAGGTAAGTGCAGGTTAATTTGTTTATTTTTCTTTATATTTTGTATTTTATTTATTATTTTGTATTTTTTTATTATTTTGTATTATATTACAGTATTGTAATAATTTTTAAATGTTTATTTTTTATTTTTGAGAGAGAGAGAATGAGCAGGGGAGGGGCAGAGGAGACAGACAGGATCCGAAGCAGCTCCACACTGTCAGTGCAGAGCCTGATGTGGGGCTCAAACCCACAAACTGCAAGATCATGACCTGAGCTGAAATCAAGAGTCGTCCGCTTAACCAACTGAGCCACCCAGGCACCCAGTATTGTAATCATTTTTATATGAATATTTTTGGATTGTGGAACAAATCGTTTGAGTTTCCATTATTTCATAGGGAGAAATTCACTTTGATATACAAGTGCTTTGGATTACAAGCATGTTTCAGGAATTAATTATGTTTGCAAACCAAGGTTTTACCATATTTCTTTTTGTTGTCTGATTGCTGATGCTATGAATCCAGTACTGTGTTCAATAGCAATGATGAGAGTCGACATGCTGTCTTGTTCCTGACTGTAAAGAAAAAGCTCTCAGTTTTTCCCCACTGAGGATGATAACTGTGGTCTTTTGTATATGGCCTTTATGATGTTGAGGTATGTTCCTTGTATCCCTACTTTGTTGAAGGTTTTTAACAAGAATGGATGCTGTATTTTGTCAAATGCTTTTTCTGCATCAATTAAGAGATCTTATGATTCTTTTCTTTTATTAATGTGGTGTATCCTGTTAATTGATTTGGAAATATTGAATCACCCCTGCAGTTCAGGAATAAATCCCACTTGATCTTGGTGAATGATTCTTTTAATGTACTGTTTGATTTGATTTGGTAGTATCTTGTTGAGAATTTTTGTATCCATGTTCATCAGGGATGAACTGTAATTTTCAGGATGGACTGTAATTTTCCTTTTCAGTGAGATCTTTGTCTGGTTTTACAATCAAGGCAATTCTGGCCTCATAAAATGAGCTTCTAAATTTTCCTTCCATTTCTATATTTTTGAAAGAGTTTGAGAAGAATAAGTATTAACTCTTCTTGAAATGTCTGGTAGAAGTCCCTTCGGAAACCATCTAACCTTGCACTTTTGTTAGTTGGGAGATTTTGAATACCAATTCAATTCATGGTTGGTTATTTGTTCAACTTTTCTGTTTCTTCTTGTTTCAATTTTAGTAGTTTATATGTTTCTAGGATTTTATCCATTGTTTCCAGATTGCCCAATTTGTTGGCATATACTTTTTCATAATATTCTCTTATAATTGTTTATGTTTCTGTGGTGTTGGTTGTGATCGCTCCTCTTTCATTTGTGATTATATTTATTTGGGTCCTTTCTCTTCATTTTGATAAGTCTAGTTAGGGGTTTATCAATTTTATTAACTCTTTCAAAGAACTATCTCTTAATTTCATTAACCTGTTCATTTGTTGTTGTTGTTGCTGCTTCTGTATCCTTTAATTCTGCTCTAATCTTTATTATTTCCCTTCTTCTGCTGGCTTTACACTTTATTTACTATTTTTTTCTAGCTCCATTAAATGTAAGGTTAGGTTGTGTATTTAAGACTTTTTTTGCTTCTTGAGGTAGGTCTATATTGCTTCTTGTGACTGCCTTTGCTATATCCCAAAGGTTTGGACTGTCACATTTTCATTTTCATTTCCTTCCATGTATTTTAAAATTTTGTCTTTAAATTCCTGGTTAACCCATTAATTCTTTAGTAGAATGCTCTTTAGCCTCCATGTATTTGTGGTATTTCTGAGTTTTTCTTGTGGTTGACTTCAAGTTTCATAGCATTGTGATTGGAAATATGCATGGTATGATCCCAGTCTTTTTGTAGTTGTTGAGGGTGGATTTGTGACCCCAGTATGTGATCTATTCTGGAGAATGTTCCATGTGCACTTTAAAAAGAATGTGTATCGTGCCACTTTAGGATGAAATGTTTTGTGTGTATCTGTGAAATCCATCTGGTCCAGTGTGTCAGTCAAAGCTATTTCCCTGTTGATATGTCCAATGTTGTAAGCGGGGTGTTAAAGTTCCCTGCTGTTTTTGTACTATTATCTATGAGTTCCTTTATGCTTGCAATTGATTTATACATTTGGGTTCTTCCATACTGGGGGCATAAATATTTGCAATTGTTAGATTTTTCTTGTTTAATATACCCCTTTATTATGATATAGTGCCCTTCATCTCTTGTCTTTGTTTTAAAATCTAGTTTGTCTGATATAGGTATGGCTAGTCTGGCTTTCTTTTGATGTCCTTTAGTATGATAAATGCTTCTCCATCCTCTCACTTTCAATTGGCAGGTGTCTTCTTAGTTCAAAAATGAGTCTCTCTCTTTAAATTGGTTTTTTTTTTTTTAAACCCATTCTGACACCCTATGTCTTTTGAGTGGAGCATTTAGTCCATTTACATTCAGCGTGATTATTCATAGATATGAATTTAGTGCCATTGTATTACCTGTAAAGTTGGTGTTTCTAGAGATTTTCTTTGTTCCTTTGAAGTCTTTGTTGCTTTTGGCCTTACTTTCCCACTCAAAGGGTCTCCTTTAATATTTATTCCAGGACTGATTTAATGGTCACAAACTCCTTTAAATTTTGTTTGTCTGGGAAACTCTTGATCTCTCCTTCTATCATGAATGACAACCTTGCTGGATAAAGTATTCTTGGGTCCATATTTTTGCCATTTGGCATGTTGAATGTATTATGCCACTCACTTCTGGCCTGCCAAGTTTCTGTGGGGAGATCTGTGAAACTTATTTGTCCGCCCTTGTAGGTTAAGGCCTTTTTTTCCCTTGCTGCTCTCAGGATGATTTCCTTATCTCTGTATTTTACAAATTTAAATGTGTCTTGGTGTTGGCCTTCTTTTGTTCTTTTAATGTTTATTTTTGAGAGAGAGAGAGAGAGAGAGAGAGAGAGAGAGACAGAGAGAGAGAGACAGAGCATGAGTGGGGGAGGGGAAGAAAGAGAGGGAGACACAGAATCCGAACCAGCCTCCAGCCTCTGAGGTGTCAGCACAGAACCCAATGCGGGGCTTGAACCCACGAACCGTAAGTTCATGACCTGACCCAAAGTCGGACACTTAACTGATTGAGCCACCCAGGGGCCTCTGTTTACAATTTTCTTTTAAGCCACGGTTAATTCAATAATATGCTGTCACGTGGTAATTTTTGGCCTTTATTTTTTTGTTAATTTGTAATGTCATTGTATTATGTTTGGAGAACATAGAGTGTGTGTAACTGAGCCTTTTGATTTTATTGAGGCTTTCTTTAAAGCCATAATCATGTTGCCTTCTTGGAATTTTTTTGTTATCTTGAGTGATTCTTTGTTCTCTTTTGTATATAGAATTCTACTCTGTATATCCAATAGCTTGAGCTTTTTAGTTGTATTCTGCAAGTACTCTATGTCTCTTAATTTTTTTTTTTTGTATTCTTGATCTACTATTTTCAAAGTAGAGTGTTAAAATATCCAAGTGTTCTTTCTCTTATGTTCTGCTTCAAGCAAAGTACATCAAGCAAGATGCATTTCAAAACTGTATTATACAATGCATATGTTTATGATGTGTATATCTTCTTTTGTTCTTTGTCACTTAATTCTATTTTGTCAGATGTTGAAAATGCTACTCCAGCTTTGTTTTGGTTCCTATTTGTTTAATATATCTTTTCCATTCTTTTTTTTGTTTGTTTATGTCTCTTTAAGTGTGTCTTTTTTAGACTGAATATTGTTTGAATCTTTTGTTTTAATCCAGTATGTAAGTTTGTCTTTTAATTGGGAAGTTTAAAAAAATTGGTAAGTTTAATTCATGTACATTTGTTGTAATTAATTATACTTTTATTATTTTTTAAATTTTATTATTGTTGACACACAGTGTTACATTAGTTCAATGTATACGACTTAGTGATTCAACAACTCTGTATGTTATGCTATGCTCACCACTAGTGTAGGTGGCATTTCATTTTTTACTTTTCATTTATGGTACTCTCTTTTTTGTATTTTTTTTTCCTTTTTTGTTTTCCAGTGGATAGATTGTTTTCTCCTGTTTTATAGAAAGTTACATATTTTCTTACCCTTTAACTTAAGATCCAACATCATGTTATTCACCCCTGTTGATTTTTACGCATACAACAACTGCAACCTCTCTCAATAAGATAAGTACCGTAGCAGGCTATTATGTTTTATTTATCTTCCTTCCACACCTTCCCAATCAGGTAACATCATCTAAACTTTTAACCCTTCCTAGAATCCATATTTTCGTGTTAGTTTTATTGTTTCTCCACAGCTGATTTAGGAAACACAGACCATAGTAGTTTGCTACCTTGGCGGGAATTAGAAAGCCTGAAAGAAGTTTTGTAGCAAATTAAGAGCATTTATCCTGCTTTTAATTATCCAACTTTAATCATAGGTGTCAGTGAGTTGATAATTCAATCAGTATTTCCCCCCCAAATAACAGGTAGAAAATGTGAAATACCTGGATTGTTATGTGTGTAAGAAATCTGTTGATGGGATTCTATATCTTACTGCAACCCACCTGATATATATGGAGGTTTCTGGTGTAGCCCAGAAAGAAACATGGGTATGTTCACAAGAAGAAGTATCAGAGGGTCTAAAGAGTTGTGTTTATTTGCTTTCTAATATGGTAGTTTCTTGAAATTTCAAGTAACAGTTAAATTGCTATAAAAACTTTTCTTCAAAGAACCTATTTTATGTTTTTTTTTATAGATTGAATCACATGACTCTTTGTCCCTGATGTTATTGACTATGGTCATCTTAGTCATTTAAAGCTACATGGGATTTTTCCTAAATATTTTTAGGTAGTGTGCTCTCTGTTCATTTTCTGAGCCTAGTTGGTGAGCATCCTGAAACAATTTAAAACCTTGCTACTCATAAAGTGTGGTCCAAGAACCATCAGTATCTGTGTCACCTGGGTGCTTGTTAAAAATGCAGAATCTCAGTTCTGAGATTCTAAATTTCTAAAAAGCTCTTAGGTGGTGTAGATGCACCATTGACTATACCTTCGGTATCAATTATTTGACCATCTTTCTGATCTAAGACAGGTTATGTTTTCATGTGTGTATATGTTTCTTTTTGCACCTTTAAACAAAGTTTTCTAATTAGTTAAATACCCCTAACATTACTTTATGTCTTCCCCATCCTGAAGTAGCATCATTGAATCTTAATCATTAGCCAGATTTATGCTTAGACCTCCTTGTTTATAACATGTATAACATACTTGGTATATGGCATAGCATAGTGATTAAGATCACCAACCTGAGAGCCAGTCTGCTCAGGGTGAAATTCCAACTTCAACATTTATTACCTTTGTAACCGTAGGCAACTTATTTAATTTCTTAGTGTCTCACTTCTCTCACGTGTAAAATAGGGATAATAATAATAATACCTTGTTATGGGAATAAAAAACTTAATAAGTGTTTAAAACAGTGACTTGCACATGATACATACTACAGTAGACCCCCCCACTTATCTACAGGGGATATATTCCAAGACCCCCAGTGGATGCCTGAAACTGCAGAAAGTACCAAGCCCCATGTATACTATGATTTTTCATATACATACATACCTAGGTAAAGTTTAATTTATAAATTAGGCGCAGTAAGAAATTAATAGCAATAACTAATAATAGAATAATTATAACAATATAGTTTTGTTTATGTGGTCTCTCTCTCTCAGAATATCTTCTTATACTGTACTCACCCTTCTTGTGATGATGTGAGATAATAACATGCTTATGTGATAAGATGAAGTGAGGTGAATGATGTAGACATTGTGACATAATGTTAGGCTACTATTGACCTTCTGATATATCATAAAGAGGATCATCTACTTCTGGGCTACAGTTGACCATGGGTAACAAAAACCATGGAAAACAAAACTGTAGTTAAGGTGGGGGTGTACTGCTGTATTATATAAGTATAAAATATGAATATACGTATGAAAGAAGTATTTTAACACTTGCTTTTTAAAATACCATGAACTTTCCCCATATGAGGTTGTAACTTGCTCCCTTTGGTTGTGCCAAAAGAAGAATCAGGAGAGCTAGTTTTAGCTAGAGTCAGCTGTCCATTAACTGGCTGTGTGGCCTTAAGCAAGGGACTCTTGGTCTCTGGGCTTCAATTTTTCATTTGTAATATAAGGTGGCTAGCTAATGTAATTATTAAGGAATCTTCCATTTCTAAAACTTTGGAAACCAGTTCTTTAATACTGTGCTGTGAACCTTTCTTCTTTCTACCTGCATTCATAGACAGCACACATATCCCCAGATTTGCTCCTGCTGGGTGTTATTTCAAACCCGTGGACTAGATCTGGAAGTGAGGACTTATGGTAATTACTTATATATGTCAGAGAAGGCATAATTACTAAATTAGAACTATTAATGTAGTTCTTCCCAGACTTTGTCTGATTCACTTTCCAATTTAGCAGTTTTGTGCTTGGTGCCTGATCTTCATGATCAGCGTTTTACTAGCCAAACATAGATCTTCCTTTTTTATCTGATTTTATTGAAATTTGATCTATTAATTCTTACTACATTATAAGTAGTTTTTGTGACTCCTCCAAAACTGTCATGGCAGAAACTGAGTTTGACAAAACAATTGAGATAGAAATTAAGATGGAAAATACCTGTGAAGAATATATTAATAGCCCCCCCACCTGGTCCATTCTTAGATGGTGCATATGATTGAAAGATTTCCTGGAAGAGATATCATTTCTAAATAAATTGGGGCTGAGGCATGGAGTGTGTGTGGTGGGGCAAAATAAAAGACAGTGAATGATGATCAGAAGGTCATTCTAGTCACAGGACAAGGAGTACAGAGAATGAATAGAGTGCATCTAGGCTTTTAGTTGCAGGAAACATCAAAGGCACAGATAGGAGGAGAATATCAAAGACTAAAACATAAAACCATGATTCCATGGCTTTTGGAATGTATAAAGAATTTTATTATTTAGATGCAGTTTCTTTTACCATGCATTTATTTCTTTTCTACTGGCATCAGCAGGGGTAGGAGTGACTAGAATGAAGATTTAATCATCCTCCTTTTTTAATCAGAGCAGTTAACCTGTACTCCCATGGGAAATAACTTTATTAACTATATAGTACAGTACTTATGTATAGTTCCTTTAGTTCTTAGTGTTATATTCTCTACTCATTTCCTAAGTTACCTAAATTTCCTAAGTTACTTAGGTAAATTTTTGCCCACTTCACTCTTTGTTTCCTGTTACTAGAATCTAAAATGTGGAAGAGAAAATTTTCTCCTGGTATTAGACTTTTTAGAATTCCTTGAGAAGGAATCTTGGACTTGGAGTTAGACTGCCATGACTTAAATCCTATTTGTGCCACTTATTAACTGTGTGACCTGTGATAAGGAATTCACTTCTCAGAGCCCTGGTTTCTTTCATTCTTGAAATGGGGTGATTATACCTCAAAGAGTTATTACAGGACTTAAATAGCTAAGTCCTCTGGCCATGGACTATCTTGTGAGCGATAAAGCACAATACCAATTATTAATCATTTTAATTAGATTTGGTAGAATAAACAAAAATTATCTTTTCATCTGTGTCAATGATTCTACAATCATAAACTTCATCATAGTATGCTAGAAGCCATCTGCTGTGAGCCAGTTCACCTCAATTGACCCACAAACCTGTTAGCCTTATAATCCTAAGAAGAAGAGAAGTTTTATAACACTGCAACTTGATTCGTATTGATTTACCACTGTTTACTTCTGTTTGTGAGAAACCCAGTTGTGATTTACAAAGGATGGTTTTAGGCTGTAGATATAATCACATCTCTGGCTATGCTGTTACCATTTCTGAAAGTAAGCCACACTGATAGTCCTAGACCTAGTGCATGTCTGTGAATTTATTTTGGTTCTTTTCTGTTTTGTAGATTGTACTGCATCACATTGCCAATGTAGAGAAATTGCCTATCACTAGCCTGGGCTGTCCCCTTATCCTCCGCTGCAAGAACTTCTGGGTGGCCCACTTTGTTTTAGACTCTCACATTGTGTGCCATGATGTTTATAATTTGCTGCTCAATCTTTCTCAGCCAGGTAGGTATGACAGTATTTTTAGCCTAAATCATTTTAATTGTTTTTCCCTAGAATGGTATAATAGAAAGATCATGAGCTATGGAGTTAAACAGAACAGAGTTTGGATCTGGGCTCTGCTACTTACCAGCCTCATGGTATTTGGGCAAGTTATATAACCTCTTAACTCAGCTTCTTCATCTGTAAAAGTAGTAATGGAATGTTATTCAGTCATAAAAATGGATGAGATCTTTCCATTTGCAACAACGTGGATGGACTGAAAGGGTATGAGGCTTAATGAAATAAGTCAGCCTTAGAAAGACAAATATCATATGATTTCATTCATGTGGAATATAAGAGACAAAATAAAGAAAGGGAAAAATAAGAGAGGGAGAGAGACAATCAAGAAACAGACTCTTAATTATAGAGAACAAACTGATGGTTAACAGAGGGGAGGGGGTGGGGGGTTGGATTAAATAGGTGATGAGAATTAAGGAGTACACTTGTGATGAACACTGGGTGTTGTATAGAAGTGTTGAATTACTATTTTGTATACCTGAAACTAATAAAACACTGTATGTTAACTAAATGGAATTCAAATAAAAACTAAAAAAAATAAAAGCACATATAATCTTGGGGTGCCTGGGTAGCTAAGTTGGTTGAGCATTCGATTCTTGATTTAGGCTTGAGTCGTGATCTCATGGTTTGTGAGTTTGAGCCCTGCATGGGGCTCTGCACTGACAGTGTAGTGCCTGCTTGGGATTCACTCTCCCTCTCTCTCTGCCCCTCCCCCACTTGCACATACATGCACTCTCTCAAACTTAAAAATCAAAAATCACATATAATCTTTTTTTTTAATATATGGAGGTTTTTTTCTTTATTGACCGCACATAATCTTTAAAAAAAGTAGTGATAGTGTAAGCTCCCTATGGGGGTTGTTTGGAGGTTTAGATGCATTTGTGCATTTTACTCTCTACTTGGTATATAGATGTGTAATAGATGTTATTTTCTTCTCTCTCCCTCCCTCCTTTTAAGTATCAACTTATAAATTATTTGTCAATTCAGGAAGATTGCTTTGGATCAAAATTTGTTACCTATTGTCTTGCAAGCTTTATGTTTGTCCCACTGTTCCTATCCCTACATTCAGTTCCATTCAGAAGACTAGGGCAGTTTTTCAGAGTCCTTAATAATGCAGCTATCCCTGTTTCGTCCAGCCTCACAGTCTCATCCCCCAGCCCTATGCCTATGTGGCTAACTCAAAAGCTACCTCTGATTTTAGTCTGTGGAATTTCCATGCTTTTGTGTCTTCCCTCTCATTTTCTTCCACCCTTTCCCCAGAATTTGTTGGAATTTTATTGATAGAGGTTAACTGTCAGTCAACTCAACACCTTATAAGGCATTGGCAGACTCTATCCATCTCTGGAAAAGTTCTTGCCACATAAATTGGTCAGATGCATTACTGATTGAATGTTTAATCTTGTGAAGGGAGGAAGTGGGGTTGACAGGAAGAAGAGAAAAAATGGCCATTTATCAACCAGAAGCAGGTATTGGCCTAAGAGTTGGAATACAAGAACACTGTAAATGTTTTGCAACATGTTACAATAAGCAAAGCAATTAAGTCATTGAAGCTCAGTTAAAAACTTTTGGTAAGGACCACTTTCCCAGCATGTAAAACCCTAAAGTTTTGGTTCAGTCCATTATCCAGCAATTCACAGGAAACCAGGAAGTATGTCCCTGCTTTGTATTAGTATCACAAAAAATTAAAACATTTTTAAAATAAGATTTTGAAGCAATATTCCAGTTCTTATTCCTCACATAAAGCCAACCTTGTACACAAGTCATTGCCCTGTTTCACAAACATTCCCTTTAGGAAAAGGAAATCTAGACTTTTTTTTAGCATAATTTGTTGTTCTTTAAGTTTCACTCATTATTACTTTGTTTTCATGTTTATCTCCTCCAGCATTACCTGAAGATCTGTATGCTTTTTCTTATAATCCCAAATCCTCAAAAGAGATGAAGGAAAATGGGTGGAAACTGATTGACCCAATATCAGACTTTGGGCGTATGGGAATACCCTACAGGTACTGGATCATAACAGAAGCCAACAGAAATTATGAGGTATTTTTGTCATTGTTTTCCTTTTGATCCATTTAATTAAGCCAGAAGAATATCAGCAAACAACTTTTTTTAATATGAAATTTATTGTCAAATTGGTTTCCATACAACACCCAGTGCTCATCCCAACAGGTGCCCTCCTCAATACCCATCAACCACCCTCCCCTCCCTCCCAACCCCCATCAATCCTCAGTTTGTTCTCAGTTTTTAAGAGTCTCTTATATTTTGGCTCCCTCCCTCTCTAACCTTTTTTTTCCCCTTCCCCTCCCCTATGGTATTCAGTTAAGTTTCTCAGGATCCACGTAAGAGTGAAAACATGTGGTAT